TTGTCCAATTATTTTTTTTATTTTTGATTTAAATAAAAAAATCGTGATGTCGACCTATCCATTACACTAACATACTCTTTTTACAAATATACATATCATCATTAGAGAGTGTCATACTTTAATCAACATCATAAACAGAAGTATAATAAAATGTGATATTTTGATATTATATGCAGTGTTAAGTGTTTTAAATACCGTACCGGTGGTACTGGTACGCGGTATTACCGGTAGGATTGGTAATATCGGTGGTATTATCGGATTAACAAATATAATAATATATATAAATAATAAAAATATATAATACCAACGGCAAAAAAAGTAAAAAAAATAAAAGACCATAATCATTAATTTCAACTTCTCAATGAGATTAAAAATAAAAATTTTAACTACCAATTTAAATTTTATATTTAAAATTATATATATATATATATATATATATATTGTATTGACTGGTAGTCAGGACCATTATTTTGCGGTTTTTACAGTATGATCACGGTACAAGCCGGTATAACCGTAAATCCAGTATTTTGAGTGGAATTGTACTGTACCAATGACCAGTATTCGGTATTACCGGCCGGTACGATATCGTATTTAAAACATTGATTATATGTATGTATTTTTGTTCATGGAGTATGACAAGACAAGTTAAACTATCTCACTCAATTTGTGTTTAATTTATTTGCTAGCTAATATGTATGCACTATGCACACGGGTCCCATGATAAAAAAATGTTATAGTGTAAAGATGCCATAATTTTTCATGTTTTATGTCATGAGAGAATATTGTAGCTTGTGAATAGTTCATAAATTTTGAAAATAGATTAGACAATTACCTTAGCGACGTGTATTTTTCGTGGCTGAAAGGCAAGGTTTGGTCCAATTTTACAACATTGGCATAAACGAAAGAGCACATAAACGAAAGAGTACGAACGATATATAGGACGAGTCGAACGTGAGTCTGCGATTATGTTATTCTTTCAAATGTGTAGTTATTTTTGTTTTGATTCGCGATGCTCGGAGAATATATTTGTTAAGGGTAGACTAGATGAGATTAGGCCTCTTATCTACCCAGAATCATGCGTTTGTTAGCAACGATTACGGCCTAACGGATTAGACACATCCCAAGATAAAAATGGACTTGTCTTGTAAATGTAAGACGAAACAGTCTTGAGGAAGGGACCATGACAAGATATGTATGCACAGTAACCTTGTGAAAACTGCACATATCACTTTCCCAAAATTAAACCATACAACTTCAATTGTCTCTTCGTGCACGATGGTGTTCAACTTGTCTTCCTCAATTGCAATTCTGTTAGACTGCTGCCATTCCCCCTCCATCCGCCGGTCATTGAGCCAACGTGCGTCGCTGTCTCACGCTTTCCTCATCGTGCTTCTTCTGTCCCCAGATCCATCGGGTCCTCCTTCCCTCCCTTCCCCATGTCCATCTTCTCGTCCCACGGCAGGAGCTTCTACACAGTCAGGTCCTCTCGCTTAGCCAATGCTGATACCGGCACCATGACTTCTTGTACGACGCAATTACAAATCAAGGGTTTGGGGGTTTCTTCTAGAGCTGCTGGGGGTAAGAGGCTCGACAGTTGGCTAGGGGAGCAGACTACGGAAGTTGAGGCCAGTGCAGAGTTCATCGAGGTGAACCTCGCTGTTGGTGACTGAAGAGGTGGAGGAAAGCGTGCAATAGCGACAATTAGAGATGGGAGGAGGATCCAATGGCCATTGATCTGGTGAAGAAACGGAAGGAAGGAAGAAGAAAAGGAAAAAAAAGTGGTAAAAAAAGAATAAAAGTATAAATATTACTTAGGTAGATGGTCAAAATTGACATTGCACAATTCTATCCATTGAGTTATCAAGAGAAACAAATGTTTGGGGAGTTAAATATTATCTTATCTGAACTAACAGTCACATATAACAAACGTTGTTTTATCTGAATAATACAATCCATTATTCCCATATTAATTTAATCTAATCTCATCACACGAAACAAATATGCCCATCTAAATAATAAAATCCATTCTTCTCATGTTAATTTAATCTAATCTCATCATACGAAACAAATATGCCCTAAGTGGGTTAATTCCTTCCAACCCGAATGGGTGGTGCCGCTTTTGCAACACACGCCTACACAAATGGGTGTAATATATATGATCCAATACTGCTAAACTCCACCCACAAGAGTAGGATAGGATAGACTCTTCCGCTTGAGTTGAATGGAATGCATATATTATACTAGGAGGCCATGGTTGTGCACAGCACAACCGGCCCAACGGTGATCTGAATGAAGGTAATTATGTTGAGCTGAAAATGCAAACATTCATATTTATGTACATTAGGCCATCAAAAGAGAAACCGCAGTATGAAAATACAAAAGAAGTTGCAAACATTTGTCGAAGTCGAATATATTCATCTAATCGACAAAGGTATCCATCAGCAACGAAACATAATAGAGAAACGTAAACCAACTTAAATAAGAGTGCAAGCAGGGAATTATTCATCACACACACACACACACACATATATAAACTAATAATAATCACTCGTGGGTGGCTCAACACGCCCTTTAACTCCTCATTTATAACCCCAGGCAATCCTAAAAAAGGCAATTATTTACAACCAATTAAACTTTGAAGCCTAATTTTAACAATAATTATAATAGTTAATCTGATCTTATAGAGATAAAGAGAAACTTTGAACAGGAAGCATACGGTGTCGTCTACCACTGTACAGGTCTGCATATACCAATAAAGCATAATGATTAACAACAAATGCATCAAGAAAAACAAAAATGATTTGTGGATTCACCTTGTAAATTTTATATTCACATCAATGTCAGCCGTAAAGCCTATGAAGTAAATCAATTGCAAAATAGATGTTAACTTAAAATTTTCAGATATTAAAAGGAAAAAGGAAGCAAAGAATATACCCTTGTCCCTCAAGGTTGCTTTCCATCGGCGGCAGTGTCGTTGCTCGCCTAAGAGCCGTCATCCGTCAGCATGAATTTTGGGACTGGTACGGGTGCGTAGGATCGACCCTAGGAATGACCAGACGCCCCATCGTGGGTCGACCCACGGGAGGATAGTGCAACAAAATTGATTGAGTGACATAAAGCTGATATTGTTATTTAATTGAAATCTAATATTCAACTTAATCAACGGTGAATCGGTGATGGACAACAGACACATCCATCGTTACAGGGCAACAAACGGCTCTTCATCATTCTCCCATTTTACAACTTTAAACCAAAAAAACACACACACACACACACAAACAAATAAGAACACCAAACATTAACATATAAGAAGGATAACCAGTAAACATCACAAACCCAACCCCAACAAAATCAAGAAATGCAAAACAAATGGAAACCACAGACAATGAAAATTGCATACAAAAATGCAGAACGATGGGCTTCCCTGGGCTGCACGCCCAAAGACTCCAATCGTGAAAAATGTGAGTAGCGAAGAGTTCATGTGAGGAACTCAAAGTTGACACTAAGATCGCAGTTAGTCAAATAAATATTCTTGACTGCTGATGCTCATCACTTACAGAGCTTAAGCTTTTTGAAATACAATGATACAACAGATTTTGGGTAAGGTTTTGTAGCAAGGCATGTCGGGATATTCTCAGGTTGTTCAATCCACAGCTTGTGAGCAATACCGTCGGTTTTTAGCTTATCCGATAAGTTTAGTATCTGAGCTTCGCCTTTTACTTCAAGAGTCACCTGCATTTGTCAAATTTACCAAGAGAGTCATAAGCTCCAGAAAACCATCAGCATTACGTTCAGTTGAGCCAAAAACCCAAGAACAGGACAATTGATGAGCCCTCACTATATGATACGCGTTTGGCTACATACGAAAGTGCATCATGCGTCTTACAAAATACTATGTTCCAATTTATCATGAATGTAACATTTATATTCACAAGGTAATATCTTGGATAAATTCACAGGGGCTTTAGGGACAAGTTAAATGATAAAAATGCCCCATTTTTGTGTTTCAACAATGACACAGCAATTTCGGCCAGACGAGTGATTCAGTCCATCAAAATCATTATCTCAAGAAACTCAAATATCCCAAGAGGATCCAAAGTAACCAATTATCAATAATTTCCTCTCAATTTCGCCACTTATTACTGTAGGCTATCAGAGAAGAACAAATCAGGGTTTAGTCAACAAATTCAGTCCATCAGATTTGTTGAATTTCATTTGAGTACTTACTCAAATCCCAAAATCCCCATTGATAACACGAAAAGAAAAAAACTGGATAGAAATTACTGGCCTTGTGCATAGAATCGAGATTTGACGGGGAGCAGTAGCGTAGGGTGTCGGGATCGTCCTTATTATTCCAGATGGCGGCGACTGAGGCATGGCAGCCCTGGGTTACCAAGCTCCCCAGCGGCCACGAGTCGATTAGGTCTCGCCGCAGCACTACGTACTGCATTAGCGTGTCTGTCACCGAGCTGTCCGTGCCTTGGGTGGCGGCGGAATCCGCGGCCGCGGCAGACGACTGCATTCGCGATCGGATGCGTGGAAGGATGGGGCAGGCTGTGGTGGCTCGAGTCTGATGGTGGGGCTTAATCAGCGGGCACCGCGGGACGAGTGTAATAGTAGCCATATGAGGGTCTTTGGAATCTATCATTATATTAAAAGAATAACCTTTTTATGATTTCCGCCAAAACCATTATTTTCCCTCCAAATCATTAAATATCCGTCAAAATCATTATTTTCCTTTTAAAATTATTAAATACCCGTTAAAATCATTATTTTTTTCCTCTAAAATCATTAAATAAATAGTTATATAGTGTTAACAAAAAAAACTGGCACTGGTTTTTGTGATGTTTTTCTTTTTCCTATTTTTTTAGGTTAACAAAATAATACATGCGATGGTGTTTGTTATGTTTCCCTTTTTCCTATTTTTTAGGTTAATAAAATAATAGATAATGTGTTGATTTGTTTTTCTTTTCATTTAAACTCTTTTTAGGCAGAAATGTCGAAATATTATATCTGATTTAATGTGTAGATATTTATTTTTTTTTCCTGTTTTTTGATCGGAGGTGTTTATTAAATTAGCCTTATAATATTTTAGTTACTTTAAACAAATTGTTTAGATATTTATTTTTTACATATTCGTCTATATATACACATATACACATATACATAATTGATGTTAAATTTAATTATTTGTAGACATGCTTTTTTTACAAAATAGTCTAGATTTTTTTTCATTATATTAAATTCAAATGTTTTTAGATAAGTTTTCTTTCTAAAATTGTTTAGAAAAGTTGTAGGTGACTTCATATCTTTTAAAAATAATATAGAATATTTTGAATACTTTTATATATACAAATATAATATTTTAGGTATTTTTAATATTAAACATACAAATTTTATATTCTATTATCCAAAATAATGTAAAATTTATATTCTCTTATACAAAATAATTTTACATTGTCTGACCCCGACACTTTAATATATAATTATTATTGTTTTCTTCCTCTTTTTAAATAGGATCAATAGTAGTTTCCCCTTCCGTCATTGAGTGACTCAAACTCGAGGTATATTTATAATATTGTTAATGTAATATTGTTACCGTGCATCGCACGGGGTACACACTAGTAAAAAGGTTACAAGGTTGGACTATCCGCAAAATAAATAGGAGAAAGAAACATATAAAGTTATAATTAGGTTACAAAACTTTTTCTAATCTCAACTATCACCATTTTTGTGCATATAAACCTTTTTTTTTTTTTTCAAACCACTATCTAAACTACACGGGTTTATCAATTTACCCCCCACAACAAGTTGAATTCTGGTTTCACCTGTTTGAAACCGATTTTGAGCCTCATATAAATACTCCACTCTCACGGTTACCTTAGTTTTCTTTTCATTTTCATTTCTCGCAAAAAAATTTAGGGTTTGAGCGATTCCCCTTCTCAAATTGATATCAAAGTTTTTTTCTTTGCTTTGTAATCGAAATTCATTTCACTACTTTTTGAATCGACATACAAAATCGAGCACACTGTGAGTACGAATTAGATTTAGCACAACGATGAGTTGGAAGTTGCGACAAAATTGAGCCAATCAACAGGAGCTAATGACAATTGTAAGTGTTAGGTTATTTTTTCTTCTCGAATATGATACCTTTTTTTCTCAAAATATGAAAAATCATGCTTAGTTTCTTGTTTGTTTTCTGAGGTGCTTTTTTTTTTTTTCATTTTGTAGGTGATAATATTGAAGGTTTTACGATTGTTGATTCTCATAAATTTGTAAGTGTGGGTCGAAATTATATTTTTATATAATTTATTTTCTCTACACTTGAGAAGTGATTTGAAACATGTAATTGTGAATGATTAACTCTCCGAAATAATAATTAATGGCCTTAGTTATTTTATTTTATTTTTATAATTACTCCATTTTCATCTATATTACAATTAAAGTAAATGGTAAATTAATTCATGTAACACATTTTATCATAAAAGAACATGCATACTATACATATTAACATGTAAGCTTAAATTATATTATGCATATTATCTTAGTGAATAATTTAAAAAATATATTTCTATTAGAATAATATATTTTTCACTAATGAATAATTTTTTTCTTCATAAATGACATTTTGTATATATGTTGAAAAATTATTTTTTACTCAATCATTCTTAAACTTATACATGTTCCTTAAATTTCTCCTGTTTAATTTTTTTAATACTATATCCAAAAGTCCCTATAGTAAATAATATTATATTTGAAAATAGAGATGATAGATTTGACCATTTAAGTTGTGAATGATTTTATAAATAAGATCGATTAATGAAAATAAATTAAAGTAAATATATATTCAATAGGTTTTAATTGTAACTATATATTTTGCTAATAAGTACACGTATATTGAAATTTTCATTTAAAATCCATTTTAGTTATCGTTTTATTTTTATATATATTTCAACTAAATTAAATGGTAGATTAATTTATATAACACATATTATCATAATAGAACATTTATACTATACAGATAAACTTAATTATGCATATTATTTTAGTAAATAATTTAAACAAAATATTTCTATTATGATTATATATTTTTCACCAACGAATATCATTTTTCCACATAAATGACATTTTGTATGTTCATTCTTCACTAAATTTTTACTGTTTTATTTTTTTAATATTATAACCAAAAGTCTCTATAGTAAACGATAAGTTATTTGGAAATTAAAGATGATACTTACATTGGTGCATTAAATATTTTACACTTATTAAATAATAAAATTTTATTTAAAAAAAAATCTTAAAATAGTTTTTTTTCTCACATTTAAAAACTACCTTTAAAATAACCGAATCGAAACCTAATATCATATGTATATTAATTCTTAATAATAAAATTAATAATAAAATATTTATTTAAAATCTCTAAATTTGCGTAGATACTCATTTTGTATGTCAAAAAAACTTAAAGATATAATTATGTATAATAAATAAAAGATAATGGATAAAAGTCAATTAATAAGTGAAAGTTTAGAAACTTAACAAATGTTGTTAGTTGTAACATTCTAACATTAATAAGAAAATTACTTTGACAAATTTAAAACTTATCTTTAGTAAGAGCAGTCTTGACAATTCAAAAGTTCCAAGAAACTACTTTTTTTTTATGATAGATTAATTATAGATAGATAAATAGATAGATTATAGTTTTCGATCGCTTACCAAATCTTTCGAATCTTCCGAGGGCAAAAATGTTACCACCCAAGTTTTCAAAAGATTTGACCAGCCCCTTGCAATCTCTTGAAAATCACTTCTTCACATAAAGCAGCAAAACCACCTTCGGAAATTTTGTGAGGCCAATTGCATAACCAAATGTGCATGTGCATTAGTTGTTCAAAGTAAATAGATCGTTTGTAATGGCTCACATGGAGGTAGAGTTGGAAATTTTCGATCAAGGAAGTTACCAAGAAAGCAAATTAAAAGTGCTAGGAGAGACCGAAAAAACACATCATTTCGGACAACTCTTTTCGTCAACTGTTGTGAAGAAGCATTACAAACGATCTATTTACTTTCAACCATTACATACGAAACGATCTATTTATTACTCGATATGGAATATGAATCATATGCAGGATATGTACACATCGTGTGTCCCTTGAATGCGTCTCGCATGGTTTCTACTTGACGTGGAATATGACAGCTGGTAAATCCGAAGGTTCTGTTGGAAGGACACTTATTAAAATCTAGTGGGACCTCGTTTGAAGATCATCATGAAGGTGAAGGCTAGTTCTCACTAAGCAGAAACTTAAACTATGCTGAGATTTTTGAAACAGTATATGCATACCTATTGGGCATGCATGTTGAACTATAATAGTTTGTGAATTACAAAATTATGAACTGTGTTCTAAAATCCACCTATAAAAATCCTTTCTCAATGCAAAAATACGCAATTCGGGTTTCAAATAGGCCAGCCCAAAATCAATCCAAAAGGCAAGATTTTGAGAACTTTACCACCAAAGCAACATTACTTTGCTTGATTCAATTAATTCAAAGCACATAGAGACAGAGAGTAATGTGAATAATAGAGCAGATGCACAAATGTTACTAACCCAATATTGCACAGCGCCAAAATTTAATGAGGACGACAAAAAAAGAGATAAAATCCCGAAAAAAATGACGAGTCGAGCATTTCATAGCATACCCAGAAAATTAAATTTCTCAAATCCTGAACAGAGATCGTCACATTCCAAAAGCAAAAAAAGTTCCAATATGTCTATGACTCTGAACATTTAGCAGTGAAAATCTGAATATCGACACGAACTTTCAGGTCCCCAAAACGCGAGTATCATCGAAAAAGATTACTCTATCTACATTTAAGCCACGTGCTGCATCTTGTCCTAAGAAATCAACCAACTACAAACGTTCATCCATTAAAAGCAAACTGCAAGCAGAAAACAAGTGATCTTCACTCAATTGTCATCGTCTTCTGGAGCCTCGTTCTCACGATCTTCCACCTTGGTTTCTTCATCTTCATCTTCCTTCTGATCACCAGACGGTGTGGAGGCTGCCGCCTGCTGGGGGGCAGAGGCCGAGCTGCAGCCAAGCTTCTCTTGTTCACGCATCTCGTGAGCAATCAGCAGCCTGCGCCTTTTGTTGATTGGGTGCTCTTTCTTGCCCAGCTCCATTGGGTCATTCACAGCCAACTCGGTCAAACTTCCGAATGATTTCGATTTTCCAGTGTAATGGCCAGAAAGTCCCTTCCTGTAATTAAAAGCAATCCAAATTTAGTCTTTCTTTTGCATGTAATCTTTGAAGATGCATTGTGACTTTTGGATAGAAACAGAATCTATGTGGTAATTGAGAGGCTGAATGATTAAGTTGGAGTTTTCTTAAGGCCTAAATTCAAATTAATTAACATTGTGATTAACTTAATGAAGTGAAAAGTATATAGAAATACAATAATTAAACTCATTACAGGCACAAACATATAGTCTCAAGGCAATTATTAATTAGAACCAAACAGTAACAGAATACAAAACTAAACTAAAAAGGAAGAACATATATATGACGTGTAATTCGATCAGTACATGTTAAACCAATTCAAATTACCGTATCAGGAATATGATACGGTCCCGTTACGGAATCATTCCGTCGACATTTATAACCGTTAGATCAACTATCCCCGACGGTTACATGATGATCTAACGGTTATAAATCCCAACGGAATGGTTCCGTAACGGGACCGTAACATTACCGTATCAATTGACATGCCAATAAAAAGCAAGAAAAAAAAATTCTGAATATTAAGAAGAATAATTTTCTCAAAAATAAATAAGAAAATGAAGTAAATCAATCAATCACTCACAATTAACCTCATCGTCGTCACTTTACTATCCGAAACGTAATTAAATTCCACAGACTGTCGTAATAAGAAGAGAAAGCAAATCAGTCATCAACGATTAACATGCAAAAGCTCTACGATTAAAAGAGAAGAAAACTCAGCGAGTCAACTCACGATCACATAATACAAACCAAAAAAATCATCAGCAACACGAGTGTGTTCTCAGATTAATTAATCGAAAACCAAAAAACCAAATAAATTAAAAAAAATAAAAAATCCTCAGATTAAATTAAGAAACAGAGCGCAAAAAGATGAATGAAGCGATTCAATTTGTCGTAGTGGAAAATTGAAAAAAAAAAAGAAGTGAAAGAAATCCTGACTTGACGGGCAGAGCATCTTCAAGCGAGGAGAGTGAATCCAGTGAGGTACGGCGCGCCTGAACCCGATCCTCCTCCACCTCCTCCTCCTCTTCATCTTCACTCGAAATCAAGCAATCATCATCGACCTCCGTCGCAATCCCCTTCCTCTTCCGGTCTTCGCCGCCATTGCCGCCGCCGCCGCCGCCGCCGCCACCTCCGCCCTGCATTCCGTCACCTCCAGGCTGCTGAGACATACTCAGATAACGCAGTAGTTCAGATTGCTCGCTCTCGCTCTCTCTCTCTCTAAACTTGCTTGCTACTAATCTCTCTTTTTCTCTCTCTGTGTATTGTTGTGATTTGATTCTGTGATGGCGGAAGAATGTTTGAAGAAGATTGGGGGTGCTATTTATTGACGGGAGAGTGGTGCATGATAGCAAGGAGGTTTGGGGAGCTGCGCAGGATAATAACGGTGAGGGGGGACCCAACAGAATGTTTGTTATTTTTGAGTGTGAGCGTGCGTCTTTATTTTATTTTATTTTTATTTTAAATAAAATGAAAATAACAATGTTCACAGAGAGAGGGTGGATGGAGAGACGGAGAAGGAAACGGTTTGACACGTGGAATTTTGAATCTGTAATGTGAATATTTTGGTACAATTTCCGATTAATTATATGTACTGTATTTGTAGATATACAATTTGGGGAAAATTGCATTGTTGGTATTGTTGGTTTAACGACGTAGCAGTTTTAGTTTCAAAGTATCAACGTTTAGTCTTTTGATTATGCAATTTAGTATTTTGCTGCAATTTCAATCATTTAAATTGCAACAAAATTTAGAATTACATGACTTAAATTGCTAATTAAAAATCTTTTCAAAAGATTTTTTTATTAAGTTCTGTAATTTTAAATTTTATTGCATTTTCAGTCCCAAAAGATAAAAGTTGCGTTGAATTTTAAAATTATAGGACCAAATAGCAAAAGTGTTCAATTCTTAGGACTAAAAATATCACTGGATCAAACCAACATGACTAAAATTGTAATTTTACCTGCAATTTGTTGTATGCAAGTTTATGTTTTTTAGTTATTTAGCTTACCTCCTCATTATATATTATTAGAGAAAAAAAATGATAGTGCAACAAATATTTTTTAGGGAAATGTTACAGTCCCGTTACGGAACCATTTCATCGAGGTTTGTAACCGTTAGATCATTATGTAGCTGTCGTGGATAGTTGATCTAACGGTTACAAACCCCAACGTTATTCCGTAACGAGACCGTAGCACCTTCCTATATTTTTAATTTCATTTTCTAGAGCAGCACACCACAATTTAGACCATAGTTGGTGTAAAATCTATATCAATCCTCTTGTACAATTGAAACCATAGCCCTTAATGAATGACACGTGTCCAATTTTTCAGTCGAGGTACTTCGCCGCGTAGCGGTACTGAAAGATATTTTATTTTGGCATTAGTTCGAAGGTTCGAACAAGCACCTGGAATTACAGAAACAGGGAAGATCTTTGCTTAATTGTTTCCTTAATTAAGATTATTTTATATTCCATATATAAGATATCATAGATCTTATTATGGTATTTTATTTTGTAGGAAATTGGAAGTGCTAGTGATAAAGGAAAGGAGAGCCGTGCGTGTGGGAAGATTATGGAGGGAGAAGAGGAGATCTACTTACCTTAAATATGCTAATTTTATGGAAGGAAATCAAGG